TAGCCAAACAGGAAGTAAGAGGTTAACTTAGAGACTCCCAGGTCACCAGCACTAGTGTCCCCATTGGAACATTTTCCCTCTATTACTTTTCTGGGGACAACCCAAAATTCTGGGTTTTCTTTTACTGTCGTTTTCAATTATAAGGATAAACAGAACAAATAAAGAGGGTGAATCTCCCTGAGTCTATCCCATATGGAAGAAAAATATATTTGAAATATATTTAAAAATATTCTTCCCAAATATATTGCTATATATTTAAAATACTACAATTTTGGCCGTATTCAATATATTTCAATAAATAAATAAATAAATATATATATATATATATATATATATATATATATATATATATACTGCATGTTGAAATGCATTTTTATTATAAAAATATATGAAAAATATTTTTAAAATACATCTGAAGAATATATTTAAAAAATATATAATTTTAAAAATATATATTTTTAATGTATTCAGATTTTAACATATGAAAAAAGTCATTTTAACATATATTTTTATATATTTTTTTGTAAATGCATTCCAAAAATGTAGATTTGTATTTTTATTTCTATTTTTTTGTATTTGTATTTATATATATATTGAATATGGCCAAAATTGTAGTATTTCCAATATATGTCAATATATTTGAGAAGAATATTTTTAAAATATATTTCAAATATATTTTTCTTCCATGTGGGATAGATTCACACCTAAGCGTTTTCCGCTGCATTTTGCGTTTGGCAGAAACGCACGGCCGTCCATTTAACATGCTTTCCTATGGGACAGGTTCACATCTTTGCGTTTTCACCCGGTGCGTTTTTTAGAAAGGGTCAGGGACTTTCTGCGTTTTTGGTTCCATAGAATTCAATGGAGACAATGCAGAAAAGCATGTAGTGCGTTTTTGATGCATTTTTGACGTGTTTTGCATTTTATTCTGCCCATCAACAAGTTAAAAAAAAAAAAAAAAAAGCAAAATGAATCAAAAACACGTCAAAAACGTGTGAGCAAAAACGCAAAACTCACTGCAGAAACGGATCAAACGTAAATTGCATAGGTGTGAACCTAGCCTAAGGGGGACAGAGACAACAATAAAAACTGACAGGGGCTCTAATCCCTCTCTGCTCCATCCAAAGCGAAAAAAAAAAAAGTTTTCCTTTAGTTATACTTTAACGGCTTGGACTTTGTACTGAGAGCAGGCAGTGAGCGTGCTCTCAGCACATAAAGTCCGCTGCCCAGTGACACCTATGTGCATTATGTGGGTGTTAAAGCCCACCCTTTTGTCACTGGACATATGTTTTGTACTTCCAGCGGCAGGCATGAGTTTTTGCATACACCATACACCCGTGTACAGCCATTGATGTCTATGGGCGGCTGTATGCGGCACCTGAGCAGGGAAATACGACCCTACGGTATATCATGCTGTATGGCTGCTTGGATGATTCCTGCAGGCTGCATTCACATTTTGCTTCTCTTTGATCACACAAAAAATCATGCTGCAGTCTTATGCCACATGCACAGGGGCAGCCAGGGTAAGATTTACATCTCAGGACCCCTTAGGCAGGCAATTCTGAAGCCCCCCCCCAAAAAAAAAATAAAAAAGAACAGTAAGACCTACTTTTTTTCTTGATTAAATATTTTATATGTGTAAATAAGAACACTGCGGACTGTGATGTAAAGGGGAACACTGCGGACTGTGATGTAAAGGGGAACACTGCGGACTGTGATGTAAAGGGGAACACTGCGGACTGTGATGTAAAGGGGAACACTGCGGACTGTGATGTAAAGGGGAACACTGCAAACTGTGATGTAAAGGGGAACACTGCGGACTGTGATGTAAAGGGGAACACTGCGGACTGTGATGTAAAGGGGAACACTGCGGACTGTGATGTAAAGGGGAACACTGCGGACTGTGATGTAAAGGGGAACACTGCGGACTGTGATGTAAAGGGGGACACTTGCGGACTGTGATGTAAAGGGGAACACTGCGGACTGTGACGTAAAGGAGAACCCTTGCAGACTGTGATGTAAAGGGGAACACTGCAGACTGTGATGTAAAGGGGAACACTGTGGACTGTAATGTAAAGGGGAACCCTGTGGACTGTGATGTAAAGGAGAACACTTGGGGACTGTGATGTAAAGGGGAACACTGCAGACTGTGACGTAAAGGGGAACACTGCGGACTGTGATGTAAAGGAGAACCCTTGCGGACTGTGATGTAAAGGGTAACACTGCAGACTGTGATGTAAAGGGGAACACTGCGGACTGTAATGTAAAGGGGAACTCTGCGGACTGTGATGTAAAGGAGAACACTTGCGGACTGTGATGTAAAGGGGAACACTGCGGACTGTGATGTAAAGGGGAACACTGCGGACTGTGATGTAAAGGGGAAGACTGTGGACTGTGATGTAAAGGGGAACTCTGATGTAAGGAGTTCTCTGGTCACCGGAGCCTCCAGAGTTTCCCTTACCATAGCTCCCAACTTTTTAGCTTCAGAATGATGGACACTTGAGGGAAGAAGTGACCCAAGTCATGGCAATAAGTGTGGCCAAATGCTTAACTTTGGGAGGGGCTTCAAGGGCTTTGATTGCTGTGCCATAGCAAGAGTCTCACAGACACAAACCTCAGCACAATCATTAAAAAACAAAAAGAATAAAAAGCTTCTATTACAAATGGTTTTTCATAAACTGTGGAAGAGTGCCTTACACAAAGTGTGGAAGGGTTCAGGAATGCGCTATGTACAGAGTGCAGGATTCAGGAATGTGCTACTGACAGATTGCGGGGTTCAGGAATTATTTACATACAGAGTTCAGCGTTCAGGAATGCGTGTCGTACAGACTGCGGGGTTCAGGAATGTGCTGTGTACAGTGTATAGGGTTCAGGAATGTGCTGTGTACAGAGTGCAGGGTTCAGGAATGTGCTGTGTACAGTGTATAGGGTTCAGGAATGTGCTGTGTACAGTGTATAGGGTTCAGGAATGCGTTACATACAGAGTGCAGGGTTCAAGAATGCGCTATGTAAAGAGTGCAGGGTTCAGGAATGCGCTATGTAAAGAGTGCAGGATTCAGGAATGCGGTACGTACAGAGTGCAGGGTTCAGGAATGCGGTACATACAGAGTGCAGGGTTCAGGAATGCGGTACATACAGAGTGCAGGGTTCAAGAATGCGCTATGTAAAGAGTGCAGGATTCAGGAATGCGGTACGTACAGAGTGCAGGATTCAAGAATGTGTTATTGACAGAGTTCGGGGGTTCAGGAATAATTTACATACAGAGTGCAGGGTTCAGGAATGATTTACATACAGAGTGCAGGGTTCAGGAATGCGGTACATACAGAGTGCAGGGTTCAGGAATGCGGTACATACAGAGTGCAGGGTTCAGGAATGTGCTACTGACAGAGTTCAGGGTTTAGGAATAATTTACATACAGAATGCAAGGTTCAAGAATGCGTTAGGTACAGAGTACAGGCTTCAGGAATGTGCTGTGTACAGAGTGCGGGGTTCAGAAATGAGCTAGGTATAGAGTGCAGTGTTCAGGAGTGCATTACGTACAGAGTGCAGGGTTTTCGAAGTGCATTATGTACAGAGTGCAAGGTACAGGAATGCGTTACGTACAGAGTGCGGGGTTCAGGGATAAGCTATATACAGAGTGCAGGGTTCAGGAGTGCGTTATGTACAGAGTGCACAGTTCAGATATGCATTACAATGCGTTACGTACAGAGTGCAGGATTCAGGAATGTGCTGTGTACTGTGTTTTGGGTTTAGGAATGTGTTACGTACAGAGTGCAGGGTTCAGGAATGCGTTACATACAGAGTGAGGGTTTCAGGAATGAGCTATATACAGAGTACAGGGTTCAGGAGTGTGTTGTGTACAGAGTGCAGGGTTCAGGAATGAGCTATGTACAGAGCGCGGGGTTAAGAAATGCGTTACATACAGAGTGCAGGGTTCAGGAATGTGTTATGTACGGAGTGCAGGGTTCAGGAATGTGTTATGTACGGAGTGCAGGGTTCAGGAGTGTGTGTGTGTGTACAGAGTATAGGGTTCAGGAATGTGTTATGTATGGAGTGCAGGGTTAAGAAATGCGTTACATACAGAGTGCAGGGTTCAGGAATGTGTTTCGTACAGAGTGCAGGGTTCAGGAATGTGTTTCGTACAGAGTGCAGGGTTCAGGAATGTGTTTCGTACAGAGTGCAGGGTTCAGGAATGTGTTTCGTACAGAGTGCAGGGTTCAGGAATGTGTTTCGTACAGAGTGCAGGGTTCAGGAGTGTGTTGTGTACAGAGTACAGGGTTCAGGAATGTGTTTCGTACAGAGTGCAGGGTTCAGGAATGCATTATGTTATTATTACCCCAAGGTTCTGTTCTTGAGCCCCGCCTTTTCTCTCTCTATACCTCCTCCCTGGGCCAACTGATAACCTCCCATGGCTTCCAATATGACCTCTATGCTGATGACACCCAGATCTATCTCTCCACTCCCCAGCTCACCCCCTCAATCTCCTCACGTATCACAAATCTACTAAGCGACATATCAGCATGGATGTCACATCACTACCTTAAACTCAATCTTTCAAAAAACTGAGCTGTAATATTTCCTCCCCCCCCAATCCCCCACTCATGACTTTACCATTAAGATCAACAACACAACCATTGGTCCTTCCCCTCATGCCAGGGTGCTAGGCATAATCCTAGACTCTGACCTCTCCTTTGGGTCCCACATCCAATCACTGGCTAAATCCTGCCGCCGCAACCTCCGGAACATTTCCAAAATCCGCCCCTTCTTGACCAATGCCACCACAAAACAACTTATCCACACCTTGGTTATATCCCGCCTCAATTACTGCAACTCCCTCCTCACTGGTCTACCGTTACACAGGTTATCCCCCCTTCAGTCTATTATGAATGCTGCTGCTAGACTCATACACCTTACCAACCGCTCAGCAACTGCTTGCCCCTCTCTGCCAATCCCTCCACTGACCTCCACTCAGTGTCTTCCACCCTCTCTGCCAATCCCTTCACTGACCTCTGCTCAGTGTCCTCCACCCCTCTCTGCCAATCCCTCCACTGGCCTCCACTCAGTGTCCTCCACCTCTCTCTGCCAATCCCTTCACTGACTCCACTCAGTGTCCTCCACCCTCTCTGCCAATCCCTTCACTGACCTCCACTCAGTGTCCTCCACCCCTCTCTGCTAATCCCTCCACTGGCCTCCACACAGTGTCCTCCACCTCTCTCTGCCAATCCTTCACTGACCTCCACTCAGTGTCCTCCACCCCTCTCTGCTCTCTGCTATCCCTCCACTGGCCTCCACTCAGTGTCCTCCACCCCTCTCTGCCAATCCCTCCACTGGCCTCTACTCAGTGTCCTGCCACCCCTCTCTGCCAATCCCTTCACTGGCCTCCACTAACCCAACGTATACAATTCAAAATACTAACCACAGCTTACAAAGCCAACCACAACACTGTCCCCAGCTACATCACCGACCTCATCCACAGATATCGTCCAAATCCTCTGCTCTGCTCCTCCCATGATATCCTCCTCTCTAGCTCCCTCATCACCTCCTCCCACGCTCGCCTCCAGGACTTCTCCAGAACCTCTCCCATCCTCTGGAACTCCCTACCACAGTATGTCTGGTCAGCCTCCACCCTGTCTGCCTTTAGGATCTTTGAAAAAATCACTTCTTCAGGGAAGCCTACCCCACCTCCACCTAAGAACTGTACTTGAATCACCTCCACCAGATCATCCCCCCAGCTATCACCTTTTGTATCACCTCCCCCTTCCTTTAGATTGTAAGCTCCACGAGCCGGGCCCTCCTATTCCTTCTGTACTGAAATGTATTGTAATTGTATTGTCTCCCTTATATTGTAAAGCGCTGAACAAACTGTTGGCGCCATATAAATCCTGTATAATAATAATATAAATCCTGTATAATAATAATAATAATAATTACATACAGAGTGCAGGGTTCAGGAGTTGCGGATTCAGGAGTGCGTACAGAGTTCAGTGTTCAGGAATGCTTTACATACAGAGTGCAGGATTCAGGAATGTGTTTCGTACAGAGTGCAGGTTCTGGAATGCGTGTGTACAGAGTGCAGGGTTCTGGAATGCGTTTTGTACGGAGTGCAGGGTTCAAGAATGCGTTTCGTACGGAGTGCACGGTTCAGGAGTGCATTTTGTATAGAGTGCAGGGTTCAGGAATGCGCTTCGGCCCTGCCTATCCCCAACATCACAGGTTGGAGTTGAGAGCTGCATGCTCTGGTGGCTTACCTGCCAATCCCTGGCTGTGGGGGGGGGGAGAGAGAGGGAGGGAGGGAAAGAGGGGAGAGAGAGAGGGGAGGGAGGGAGAGAGGGGAGGGAGGGGGGAAAGAGGGGAGAGAGAGAGAGGGAGGGAGGGAAAGAGGGGAGGGAGGGGGGAAAGAGGGGAGGGAGGGGGGAGGGGAGAGAGAGGGGGAGGAGAGGGGGGAGAGAGGAGGGGGAGAGAGAGAGGGGAGAGAGAGAGAAGGGGAGAGAGAGAGAGAGGAGGGAGGGAGAGAGGAGGGAGGAGGGAGAGAGATAGAAGAGGGGAGGGAGAGAGATAAGAGAGAGAGAGAGGGGGGGGGGGAGAGGTGAGAGGAGGGAGGGAGAGAGATAGAAGAGGGGAGGGAGAGAGATAAGAGAGAGAGAGGGGGGAGGAGGGGGGGGAGAGAGGAGGGAGGGAGAGAGATAGAAGAGGGGAGGGAGAGAGAGATAAGAGAGAGAGAGAGGGGGGGAGAGAGGAGGGAGGGAGAGAGATAGAAGGTCCTCCGAGGGGGGAGAGAGATAAGAGAGAGAGAGAGGGGGGGAGAGAGGAGGGGGAGGGAGAGAGATAGAAGAGGGGGGGGAGAGAGAGGGGGGGGAGAGAAAGAAGAAAGAGAGAGAGGGGCCCCTCTAGGTAGGGCCCCTGTAGGCACATGCCTAATGGTAAATGCGTCCCTGGGGTCAGCCCATCATTTCCAGCAGAGATTTCCTTCTGATCTTTGTGCTTCTTGGTACCCTCACATGCGGCCGTACGGTTTTTTGCGCAGGGAAGGTGCGTCTTCTTGTGTGTTGGAAGTTCCATGAACAGGGAACACAAACCTGACGCACACAATTTTTTTTTAATGAATACCAAGTGTTATTAGTTTCTGAGCACCCAATATTCTGCCCGGCGTCTAGTGGTAGAGGAAATATCACCAACATAGGCCACAGGTCCATCCCTGGGCGACGCTCGCTGTAGCCCGCATTCATGGTCTCAGGCCCATTGTGGTGAACTGGAGCGTACAGATACAGCCAGGCAACCAGCATTTCCCCCCCCAAAAAAAAACAAAAAAAAAGCAGCCAGCATGGTCATCCGAAGAGAGTCACTTTTAAAGTATAACTAAAGCCAAAACTTTTTATTTTGGTTTTGGATGGAGTGGAGAGGGACTAGAACCCCTGTTAGGTGTTTATTGCTGTCTGTGCCCCCATTAGGGAGATTCCCCCTCTCTATTTGTCCTGTATACCATTATCATCAAGAGTGAAAGAAAATCCCGAATGTTGGGTTGTCACCAGAACAGGAAGAGAGGGTAAATCTTCCAATGGAGACACCAGTTCTGGCAACAACCAGAGATTCCAAATTTTCTCACTTCCTGTTTTGGCTATGGCACAGGAAGTGAAGGTAAATCTCCCTCTGTTAGGTGTTTAATGCTGTCTGTGTCCCCGTTAGGGAGATTCCCCCTCTCTATTTGTCCTGTTTACCAATATCATCGAAAGTGAAAGAAAATCCCAAATTCTGGGTTGTCACCAGAACTGTAATAGTGTCCAATGGTAACACTAGTTCTTGTGACCTGGGATTTGCAGGGATTTCCTCTCATTTCCTGTTTGTGGCTATTGGACAGCAAGTGAAGGGAGATCTCCCCCTGTCAGGTTATTATCGCTGTCTGTGCCCCATGGTAGGGGGATTCCTCCTCTCTATTTATCATGTTTACCAATATCAGAGAAAATCCCAAATTTTGGGTTGTCACCAGAACAGGAACAGAGGGTAAATCTTCCAATGGAAACGCTACTGCTGGTGACAACCATGGATTCCCTCCCTTTAGAGGGATTTCTACTTACTTCCTGTTGTGGCTATGGGACAGGAAGTGAAGGGAAATCTCCCACTCTCAGGTTTTTGTTGCTGTGTCCCCATTAGGGAGATTCACCCTGGCTGCTTGTTCTGTTTACCATTATTATTGAAAGTGAAAGAAAATCTCAAACGTTCGGATGTTCCCAGAACAGGAACAGAGGGGAAATCTTCCAATGGGGACACAGCAATAAAAACCTGAGAGGGGGAGATTTCCCTTCACTTCCGGTCCCATAGCCACAACAGGAAGTAAGTAGAAATCCCTCTAAAGTGAGGGAATCCCTGGTTGTCACCTGGTTCTGGTGACCTGGGATTTGCAGGGATTTCCTCTCACTTCCTGTTCCATAGCCACAACAGGAAGTAAGTAGAAATCCCTCTAAAGTGAGGGAATCCCTGGTTGGCACATTGGTCTGGTGACCTGGGATTTGCAAGGATTTCCTCTCACTTCCTGTTGTGGCTACGGGACAGGAAGAGGAGGTGGATCTCCCCAATGGGGACACAGATTGCAATGGAAACCTGACAGGGGTTATAACCCTCCCTTGTCCAAAAAGAAATCATACTGTTTTTAGTGTTAGATAGAATGGGATTAGAACCCGTCAGGTGTTTATTGCTGGCTGCGTGTCCATTAGGGAGATTCCCCGTTTATTTGTTCTGTTTCCTGTTATCACTAAGAGGGAACATAAAAAATTCCCAAATTGTTGTCACCAGAACAGGAATAGAGGGGAAATCTTCCAATGGGGACACTGAGGGATTCCCAATGGGGACACTGAGGGATTCCCTCACTTCCTGATTTGGCTATGGGGCACAATGTGAGTATAAATCTCCCAATGGGGACACAGATGGCAATAAAAGCCTGACAGGGGTTCTAATTCTCCCTTACTCTATCCAAAATGAATGTTTTTATAGAGTGGGATTAGAACCCCTGTCAGGTGTTTGTGGCTGCCTGTACCTCCATCAGGGACAGTCACCCTCTCTATATGTCCTGTTATCACCAAGAATGTGATTTTAAAAAATCCCAAATTGTTGTCACCAGAACAGGAATAGAGGGCAAATCTTCCAACGGGGACACAAGATATGGTGAAAACCCAGGGAATTCCATCACTTTAGAGGGATTTCTTCTTACTTCCTGTTGTGGCTATATGAGACAGGAAGTGATGGGAAATCTCCCCATCAGGTGTTTATTGTTGTCTGTTTTCCTGTTGGGGAGATTCCCCCTATTTGTCCTGTCTCCTGTTATCACCAAGAGAGAACGTGAACAAAATCCCCAAATCGTTGTCACCAGAACAGGAATAGAGGGTAACTCTTCCAATGGGGACAGCCAGGGATCCCCTCACTTCCTGGTGTGGCTATGGAACAGGAAGTGAAGGGAAATCGCCTCAGCGGGGACAAAAAAACACTTCACAGGGGTTACAACTCTCCCCTAATCCATCCAAAATGAGGAGAGAGACCCGAAATGACCACTTGACCCCCATCCAAGGTTTCTGTAAAGAACCGAGCAAGTTCTGAACGAAGCCTGCGGAGCCGCTTTTTATACTCAAGCCAATCCCCGCCCCTCTGTCATCTACGTCTCCGCCCGCCAATCACAGAGCGCTCGCTCCTCCCCTGGCCAAGCCCGCCCTGGCTAACCCTCCATCTGCCAGAGGGGGGCGGAGCTGTGCGCGGAGGAGGAGGAGGGGGGAGGTGTGTGTCAGAGGCCCCGCCCCTTGTTTATGTGGTGGCGGCCCGTCGTCCATGTTGGGAAGGTGAGGGGAGCGGAGTGCGGGGAGGACGGGGGCCGGGGAGACCAGAGACCGCCCGGACTACATGCTGAGGAGGCGGACACAGCGCCCGGAGCCCCGGGGGAGCCCACACCTCGCACCCGGATAAGTCCCGTCCGAGCGGAGGAGCCGAGACACCCCCATGGACGGCACGTCCGTCATCACCCAGGTCACCAACCCCAAGGAGGAGGCCGTCCTGTCCTGTGCCCAGGAGAAGGGTGAGACGCCCGCCCGGGGGAGGGGCATGCCGTGTATATGTTAGGAAGGGGGTACTGTTCTAAGATTAAGGGTGAGACACC